CTTGGGTAGGAACACTTCAACAGTGCCCAGTTCCCAAGGAAGGATGCACAAACCCAAAAAAAATCCCGAACTTTATAGCAGTTCCGCTCTCAATAACTCCGCATGGCAGTGCTTCTGAAGCTGCATGGGAAAAGGTGTCTGACAACATTCATTGTTATTTCCAGAATTAGGTTTGATACTTAACGCCGTGTGCATTGGTTTCAATTCATATTTTCTAGATTGATTTCCCTGGATAATGCGCGTAAGAAAAATGTTTTTGGTAAATTGTTTATATCTAGCAGACATCTGCTGGTCGCGGATTAGTGGTAACAAATTTTCCAAGGTTTAACATAAGCTGGGTCGCAGTTCACATCGCTCGTTGTGTTAAGCGATAAGAGCCAGGAGAGGATGATGGGGCGAGCGGCGACGTCTGGTGCAGCGCCAACCTTTTTTTGGTGAGCGACAAAGCTGTATCATTTGGTGGTGAAGTCCGCTCCTCCACGTGGTGCCACTGGAAACTGCCCGCTCCTGCGGGCTGAGCCGAACGCGGACACTCGAAAGCAGGTGACAGGCCTTCGTGACGGGCCGGCCTACGAACACCCAAGTCACATCACCAATGTTCAGTATGCCACTCTGAATTCCGAGATCAATGCTACGGCGTCCGCGGAGCCGACGCGCACTCGTATGGCCCGGCGAGTGTGGAAAGTATGCGAGGGTCCCTGATGCAAGGACGGCATCGGGGGGCAACCAGGCTAGTCCAGAAGTCCTGTAACGTTGAAAAGATCCGCGTAGCAACGTTGAATGTTGGTACGTTGACGGGGCGCTCATGTGAGCTAGCAGAGGCACTGGAGCGCAGACGTATAGACCTGTGTGCGGTGCAGGAAACGAGATGGTCCAGCTGCAAATCAAGGGAAGGATTTGTGTCCGCAGGCTTCAAAGCCCTTCTATGTGGCCAACCGAAAACCACAAACGGAGTGGCTGTAATAGTATCCCAACGTTTCCGGGACTCGATAGCGAAGCGTAGAACGCTTTGATGACCGCCTGATGAAGATCGTTATTGCTATCGAACAGCGGCTGTATCATTTCTTTTCTGCCTATGCTCCACAAACGGGATGCTCCGAGCGATCCAAGGACGAGTTCTGGTCCCTGCTTGAAGAGAAGACAGCTGAGATACCGTCAGAAGACGTCGTAATTGTTGCCGGTGACCTAAATGGGCACGTAGGTGCTACGAAAGACGGGTACAGGTGTTCAAATGGTGGTTTCGGTTATGGATCACGTAACGCTGATGGGGAGCGAATCCTTGAGTATGCGGAAGCCCATAACCTAGTCATCGCGAATACAAGGTTTCGTAAGCGTGATTCCCACCTGATCAGCTTCTACAGTGGAGGTTCCACAGTATATTCTTGTCTTATTGTATTTGACTTTGTTCTTTGTTAGACACCGCGACCAAGGCTCATCACGGAGCGAGAGACGTCCGTACGAGACAGTTGCCCACGCAGCATCACCCACTAATTTGCACGCTAAAGATCGCAAGACTCACCAGGAAAGGTCAACAGGTCAGCCTGGCCATTTGCAATGAGATGCACATCACTGTACTCATCTTGACACGGTGAACTCAGAACTGTCTTCAAAATTTGCAGAACGATTCTCTGAGCGGAGTTATGGAGGTTTTTCTTTACTGTTTTTCTTCTTACGGGCGCGCTGGCGCCGAAGCGTTGGCACATGTAGCGCGACTCACAGCGCTCTTCGCGCAAAACAGATATCGTATTCGTGTTAAGGGGGTCAAATAACCCCTAGAGACGTCACCTTAGCAAAATCCGAGCTTCTGACTCAACTTCGAAAAAATGGGGTATGGATAGTCATGGATGACTGATAGATAGCCGACAGCGATACTACGGCTAGCCTACTGATGACGACTGGTCTTCGAGCTGAAATAACTCTTCAATCATGTCTTTTCGCGAACAACAGTACCTGGCTTACTTATTTGTGCCGTCTGCATCATTTTCTTGACTATCGGGAGGAAATCCCATTCCGAGATCAGTCATCGATGGTAGGTAAGCTCCAATCTGCTGCTCTTACCCAAATGGGATAGCCCACATTTTCCAAGTGAGGTCGAAATATCAGATTCGGCTAGAAAGTTGTCTCCAGGGGTAATTTAACCCGATGAGCATGAATATGATGGTATTTCATTGCAAAAATCCTTATGACATGTGCTACGGGGGGACAAGCACGAGCACTCTTTCAGGCCATAATGGGTCTACACTTTCAAAAAAAAGTGGTCGCAGTTTCCTTACAGGATAGTGCAGGCGAGCAGAGATGTTAGAAGCTTCTGTCCGGCATGTACTGTTCTGGACAAATGCCAAAAAAACGGCAAACCGTGCGGGACCGACCCTACGACGTCTCGCCTAGTAAACCCGCTCGCTATCCGTTGCGCTCTGCTGCCACGTTTCAGAACGACTCCATACATAAATGTAAAGACGCTTCCACGTTTCCTCGCGATAGCATGACTTGAAACGACTGTGCGGCGAATTGAAACCTTCAAACTCCGGTTCAGAAATCGTTCTGCAATTTTGAAGACGGTTCTGAGTTCACCGTCCCAAGACGCGTACAACGGTGTGCAGCTCATTGGAAATGGCCGGGCTGACCTGATGACCTTTCCTGGTCAGTTCCAAAACGGGTCGAAAGCGATGTGCGTCCGAGAGGATCAAATGGTGGCGTTTGAAAGAAAAGGAAGCAGGTGTAATCTCTCGTATTCGACTTCCCACCGTCACGACTGTCGATGAGACCTGGAGAAGTGCTACTAAGGCGATACATGAGGCCGCTCGTTCCGAACTTGGCATCACGAAGCCTGGAAGGCGTAGAATTAATAATTGGGGAAATAACGCAGACGCCTGTGGTATAAGGACCGACTATTTGCAAAGAATCGCGTTCGCCAAAAGAAGAAAAGCAGATACGCGACAGCGTTTCTAAACGACAAGTCAGCTAGTAGCTGGCGTAAGTACAGAAGAAGCGAAGAGTGCAGCAAAGAAGGCTGTGGCTGCAGCGAAGGCCGCCCACTTCAAAGATGTGCTTGACGGATAACTACGATTTTCACGCGATGAAGAGGCGTCACCTGCAGACCGACCTTCTCGCAAGGTTCGCATCGTCAGACCGAAGATATCGAGAAATTTCCTGGCGTCAACGACGAGCATGGCCGTCTTTTGATGGACCGGAAGAGGGTGCTCAGGAGATGGCACGACTTCTTTTTGAGAATTATTCGCAACCGTTATGGAGTATGCGCACTCCCGCCACCCCTTCTCGTTCCGCAGTATTACTGTCCCTACAGAACATGTAACCGTAGAAGAGACAAAAACGGCTCTCAGAAAGATGAAGTCAGGCAAAGCAACAGACCTGACGACGTAGCAGCCGACTTATGGAAGGCAAGGTGCTGGAACCCTGCGCAATGGTTGACGGATTTCTTCAATCAGGTCGTTGCTGAGAAGAAGACGCCCAAGGACTGGCGAGAAAGCATGACGATTCCGATTTGGAAGAAGAAGGGCAGCTCCGCGGAATGCTCGAGCTACGAAAAATTCTTCGAGCGAACTTGTTGACAGGTCGTACATCCGCGGAATCGATCCAGTTTTCCTATATCAAACCAGTCGCGGATTTTTGGGGCAGGCTGTAGCAGCCATCTGAACGCCCATACAATGCCGCGCGTCTTCTGCTGGAAGAACATCGCGAGAAGCAAAGCCTTGATCTATCTTTCCTGACCTAAAAAGGCTATCGATCGTGTATTCCGCGTGAAGTTATATGGCACGCCTTGCGGCAACACGGCGTTCCCGAAGAGCTTATAGAGTGGGTGCGCATCCTGTACTCCACCTCGAAGAGCCGTGTGCGTACACCAGCAGGCACTTCACAGGAATTTCCCATCACGGTCGGGGTGCATCAAGGCTCAGCACTCTCCCCACTTCTTTTCGTGGTCGTCTTAATGCGTATCCACGAATATATTCAGAAACCGGTCGTGGACCCTTCTCTACGCAGATGATGTGGCGCTGGCCAGTGAAGATAAGAGCGACCTCGAACAACAGGTACAAGCATGGTCTGATCGCCTGACAAAGTTCGGACTAAAGTTGAACATCAAGAAGACCGAGTACTTGACGACGGATACAAATGAGTCGCGAATTTATTAGCATAATACAGTGGCACGAACACAGCACGCCCACAAGAGCCTTCAAAGTTCTTAAATCAGAAATTGCGTTGATGGCGTCTGACCGCAGAGGTAAACTCTCGTGTGAGTGCAGCATGGGTGAAATGGCGCTCGATGACTGGAATTCTCTGCGACAAGACCATACCTGAGCGCCTCAAATCGAAGATTTATAGAAATGTGGTCAGACCAGTAGCGTTGTACGGAGCTGAATGCTGGCCTGCAACCAAAGAAGTCGAAGCCCGTCTTAGTGTGATGGAGATGAAAATGCTTCGCTGGACGGCCGGTGTCACGCGTATGGATCGGATTTGCAACGATGACATACGCAAGAGATTCGGCGTAGCTTCCATAGTTGATAAGAGCGCAGACATCTATCGCTCCGATGGTTATCGGCCACGTACTTCGCAGCGAAAGCCGGACACCGTCGCGTAAGACTGCCTACTTCAGCTTGAGGTGCTCGGCAAACGACCTAAAGGACGCCCTAGGCAGCGCTGGCTTGACACGCTGCACGCGGACTTAAAGATAGTTGGTGCCCACCCTGATCAGGCATTCGACCGGGATAAATGGCGTAAGAAAATCAGGAGAGCGGACCCCGCTACAGAGCGGGACAAACGCTAAAGAATAAGAAGAAGAAGAAGAAGACAAAGCTGTATCATTTCGTTCGCATAAGTAGCTTTCCACCATTTGTTGTCGCTAAACTACTTCAACAACTAGTGGAGAACGGGTTAACGGCGTGCCAACGGCAACCGCGCTGATACGCCGCATCATCCGCAGCGAACAAGACTAAAACTGAAATGTTTCGGGAAATACAATGATTGCTGGAAATGTTCCGAAGCAATCAAAATGATGAACGACTAGCCTTCTCTAACAGATCAAGGAAACGCCTCCGTAATTCCAAACAATATCTGCGTGCAAGATCAGTTTCTTCTGTTCTTTCATTGCGTAGTCGAACCATTTCTTTTTGTAGCTGCATAGTCTCTTCCCGAATTGAAGAGGCATTCTTCCGTAAACTGTTCATGATACTGAAACCGGAATGTTTAGGATATCTCAGTAGTATTCTTTGACAACAACAATAAAAAAATGATCAAGGGTAACGAGTTCGAAGTACAAGTTCTATGCATGAAAAGAAGTTCTGTTTATACTGATACCCACTCGACAAGAGCCTCCTTTCTCAGCTTCAAATCTTCAAGTCTAGCACTGTATACTTCCAGAGCACGGCTGTGACCTTTTTCTTCATCCTCACTTAACTTCACCAGCCTCTGCAAATCTAACTTCATGTTCTACAAACATTCTGAAAATAACACTACAGCGACGTTGTGTGAACAATGGGCAGCAATAAATGAACAAGTAAGAGCCTAAGATGAGCTGAAAAAGTCATATCTTTCAGAGATACCAGGACAAATCATTTTATGCTGCGTTCATACTTTGCGTCGGCGTCCACCAACGACCGCCAACGTTTCGAGGTCTACGGGAAGTATAGGTATCGAGCTAGCGTACGTCCGCGTCCAGCAGTGTCTTCCAGCGTACAGCAGCGTCTCGCAGGGCTACGGAAGTATAGATCTAGCAAACGCCAGCGTCTGCCAGCGTACAGCACCGTTCAAGAGTGGAGAGTATGGGGAGGTAGGAGGGTAGCAGACATCTGGACTAGGCGTCAGGTGCAACAGCACCGCACAACAGCTAAAGCACAGAAGCATGCAATATTGATGTATGGTGTAGTGCAGTTTTGCGGTGCGGCTGCGCACGCCGCAATTCCACTACGGATAATCCAGCTGTCTGCTACCCTCCTACTCCCCCATACGCTCCTCACATGGACGCTACTGGACGCTGACAAACGCGGGTGCTGGCTTTCGTTGGATCGATATCTATACTTTCCTTATTGTTGGCGATGGCCTGCGCTCGAAACGCTGGTGGTCGCGGGTTGACGCTGAAGCAAAGTATGAGCAGTCTTAGGGGAAACTCCTGCTCACATGGAAGTCGACTAGTTCACAATTAGACTATTCAGTAGAATAAATACTAACACTCAATGCCTCTTCTCTCTGCATCTTATATTTAGCAGCCTCGGCTACCAGGGCTTCAGAGTTTGCGCGCTCGTGCTCCAGAACGTTAACTCCAGCCTGAAGTAAAAATCAAATATTAGACAAGAAGAAAAACTTACCGCAACATGTCACACAAGTAAGATCTAGCAACATGATAGAGGAGTTGAAGGCTGCAGTTAATAGTTTGCTTGAAGAATTGGAGCGTCACATTCATGGCGAAAGTTCATTGCGGGGACATGCCTTTACCTTGAATGCACGGACTCTGAGCATGAGCAGGGATTCGTACCTGGAAATCACGGAGACGATCAAGCTCATTTGAACGGTCATCGAGTAGTTTTGACGCCTGTTCGATCACTGACATGCTCTCATTATTACCACTAATCCGCTGCCTGGAATTGATCATAATGCATCCCTTGTAATGCCAAAATAATTGCGGACCTTTCAGCGTCACAACTTTCTTGCAGGCGCCTGATTGCCAATCGCTGCTCATCGACGTCGTTGCGAACTCGTACAGGGGATTTCACAACGCCCTTCGAGAGATGTTCAATCTCGTTTTTGTGTGCCTCTATATCTGAGAAAGCTTTTACCTAAATGGGAGATAGTTATCAAGGCACTGCAGTCATTACGGAAGAAAACGGAGTGAAAACGCACGATTTCTTGCTTCCCTTCTTCAATGGCCTTGATAATAGCGTCCCTATTACATTCAGTCGCTTGAGTTTCTTTCATCAATTCAGTGAGGATAGCGTTTTTCTTGCCGCTCTCAGCCAAAAGCTATTATAGCCAATTATAACATGGGGGTGTAAGTGCAAAAATCTTAAGCAGCTCACCCCATTTTCTTTTCTTTTTCGACTGTCTCGATCACTTCGTAGAGCATTTTTCCTCTCTTCCGCAAGACGAACCTTAAAATAGCTTAGTGGATTCAAGTGATGTCTTAGAATAAAAAGGAGTTTATCGGTTTGGAGTGCAACCTACTTGTTCTAGACCCTCTTCTATCTCTCTCCGGGCGTGATCGTATTCACTGCTAGTTTTCTCGAACACTTGCGATGCTACCTAAGACATTCGGAAAATGACTAATTGAAGAA